TCAATACACTTATTTAACCATGTAATTGCTATTCAGAGTGCAGCACTAAAATCAATGAGAAACATCACATACAGAGAAATAAAATGAGCTACAGTCTTTGCAGAATGGAGTGCAAGTTATCTGAGGATGGGATATTATTTTAAGCTTATTTTTTACAGTGCAAATGTGTCTTGGATTTCTAAGTACAAAAATATTGCACAATAATTAAACTGTTTTTATGATGAATAAAAACTTGTGAAGGCAAAGGCAGGTGTTTTAACAACACAGATAGTGAAGGCTTGCATCTGCTTTGTTACAAATTACACAGAACCAACCCTGAAAAACCCTTTAAAACCAAACCCTTTAAAAAAGGTAGCACTGCAACAGCCATTTCTTATTATGAAGATATGTTATACAGTCACTGTGCAAAAAAAATATGCCATCCTGTAAAAGGCTGAACCAGGCCCAGTTCAGTGCCTGCAGTGCAGCTCTTGTTTCACTGCCTGGTGTACTTCTTGTTGGCAGATGTTATTTTCATGAACTGTCACCATGTATTTTGACACAGAGGAAAAAGGGGCAGATTCAGTGTGCATTCACGGATACAGATACTGCTAAAATAGGCAGAGATCTAAATCCCCACGTAATCCAGCACATAATAGAGCACCAGTCAGCATCTGTCGGGAACACTGGGCTTTTTAGAAGGAAAACACAGGTCTAAGGACTTCTGAGGGGTTTTTGCTTTGTTTATCACTGGTCATTCAGGGTATTCGTAAGACCACAACACATCAAAAATTCAACCTGAGAAGGAGAAAGGGAAGTTTCAAAGACCAGGTCCGGCTGCACCAGCGCCTGTTCAAAAGGAAGCAGAGACTGGCAGAGGAACCTGCTGATGATGTACTGCAAATAACTGTGCCTGAGTCCCTCTCTCCTGTTGGTAGGCTCTGTGCAGGCATTTGGGAATATTATAAGCAGCAATGAGTGCAGAGAGGGGCAGAAGAAAAGCACCTTTTTGAAGCCTGAACCCTCAAGCCCGAGCACAGCTGGCTCAGTACTCGGCAAACCTACATGGAGAGGGGGAAGGAGACACACAAAAGGAGCCTGCTGGCAGCAGTCTGAAGTTACATCATCTCTAGTGCACTGTAAAATCTGAACTTCTCAAAGCTGGAAAAATAGAAACACCTCCACAGCATGACTGTGCAGCCAAGGCAGGTGCCTCCTCCCACACAGGGAAAGAGACTCAAGCACAGCAGAGTGCACTAAAAGGAGGCCCAGTGAAGTGATCTTTTGGTTGGTTTGTTGGTTTTTAACCTCATGCTGGGTATTACTGGGGAAGACCATGTTCCCCCAGCTATGAAAAATTCCTTCACTAAAGAAAGTATCATCATCCTTCATAGATATAAAATGGCCAAGGGCTATATTTTCAACATGATTCCAAAAGAGTAAATAAGCACCAAGTGGGATTTTCAAACGTCTGTAGGTTCTTCAGACTACTGACAACTACACAGAGAGAGAGAGAAAAGAGAGAAAATAGTACTCTGAATCCTGGATAACTAATAATTTGAGTCAGTTGTGGTAGATTTGAAGCACATGGAAGGACTGGATCTATCAGCTGACCACTGTGATCCTCTCTGCAGGGAAGCATAAGCAACATTTTGGCCATGGAGGTGTCTATGCATATGAACAGAAACACACACACACATCTTAGTCCTGTTAAACTGGAGAACCTACAATGCAGTGATGAAAACATTTTGAGAGCAGTTGTCCAGTGATTTGGAGGATAAAGAACCAAACAAAAAGAAGTCCCACATACAAAATAAACACTTGATCTGTAAATACTGAAGAAATGCCACATTCAGATGGACTGACCACTTGAGTAAATGAAGCAGAAATTCTTGTGTTCTGCTTTAGGATTTAAACTTTCAATGAAGTCACACATCACATATGGATATCACGGGCAAGTGCAGCCCAATACAATCTCTTGCCTAAATTGAAAAAGCTAGGAAACCCACAAGCAGATCAACACATCAGTGGGGGATTTATCTGCTTGGTACCCCCTGAATGTATATTAAGGACCAAACTGTGAAAGGAACTCTGACTGTGCAAGGCAAGTGTGACAGATATGTGGTTACAGGGAAGAAAAAAGCCAAGATACTGGAACCAAACATCAAATCTCCTGTTTCTGGAAGGTGTAATTAACCATTGTGCCCAATAGTCCTGTTTGTCTCACTGGATGTCAGGCTGAATCCGAAGCACTGCAGGCCAGGGCCATTTATACTGCTGGTATACAGCAGAAAGCCTCCCCAGGAAATTCCTCAACAATTTTAATTGCTTTTAATTCTCAGTTATTTGATGGTTTCCATTATTCTAAAAAAAAAGAACATGCAGAAGTCTGTGAAGACTGAAGAAAAAAAATACAGAAGGCTGTTCTACTTTGATAATGCTCTTTAAAGTATTCTGCCAGCTCTACTTTTGATAGTAAACCTACCCCTAATTTTCACGAAAATTGTGCTTCTTTTGTAATCAGAGCAAGAAGAGCTACCGAGTACTTGACAGCAACCCTGCTTACGTAGGACTTTCTTTTCTTGTACTCCACAGAAATTATTTTGGGAGCACGGGGAGTTGTGGAAACGTTGGGATGCAAAGTGCACAGAAGCTCCACTGGAGAGAGACTGTCCTCCCATCCAGCAGCAGCCTCCCATCTGCACACTGCTTCAGTGTGACTTATTGGCATTTAGGAGGCCACTACAACCAACCCTGAATAATGTGTTTATAATATCTAAAGAAGAAGAAAAGAAGTGTTAATGAGAAATCAGCTCATTGTCATCCTATTTTTTCCACATATTCAGTTATTTGTCATCTGCTTGTGTCCTCTGACTGACAACATTCATGCCAGCTGCTGGCTGAATGGGAGCCTTCCAGCATGCCTAAATAGACTGTTTGTCTTCATTAGGGCTTTGTAGGAATTCATTCAGCGAGGACTTGCAGACTGTCATTAGGCAGGTCCAGTCTTTCAAGTTCTGCTGTCACAATCCAATATATTTGCTTTAGCAGACTTTCCCTTGCTTTTGTTCCTTTGACAGAGGAGAACCAGTTTCTATTACCCCAAGTTGTTGGGATTTTTTGTTGTTTCCCACAACTGTGGTTTCCAGGCATACTTCCACATTGCACTACAAGGGGAGAGAGGAAATGCACACACATACTCTACATCTTTAGGATAACAGATTTCATTGTATTGCATTTATTTGCTCCCCACCTTTTTTCCATAAAACAACTTAATAATGAGTCCATATCAACTAGATGATTGAACATCAAGGAAGAGAGAGACTTAGCCCGATCTTTGATTTTTCTGCATCAGGAGACAGATGAAATGATACTATATTAAGTGGATAAAAAAGGCACATAACCTCAGTAGCTGAAGTTGAATAAAAGTTATTCTTAAAGTCAGGGCAAGATTATTGTTATATTTCTAAACAAACATTCTTGTCCCTCAGCATGCTTAGGAGAAGACATGCAAAGCTGGAGTCAGGCTTTAGATGCCAGAGGATACTCAAGAGAAACAGCAGCTGTTTTTTCTTTGAATTATTAGAATCTTAGCCTTTAAAAAAAATTTCAACAGCAATAGTAGACACTTCTCCTACTTATTCTCCTTCTGAGGACTGGATCAGTTATTACTTTTACTCAAAAACATGTCATGGTTTAACCCCAATCAGCCACCAAACTCCATGTAGCCACTCATACCCCCAGAAAGAGAATTGGGCAGGTAAAAGATGAAGAAATCATGGGTTGAGCTAAAGATAGGGAAATCAAAAGCCACACACACAAGCAATGCAAAACAAGGAATTAATCCACTGCTTTCCATGGGCAGGCAGGTCTTCAGCCATCTCCAGGAAAGCAGGGCCCCACTACATGCAACGTGTACTTGGGAAGACAAATGCCATCATTTCAAACATCCCACCCTTGCTCCTTTCCCCTCACCGGGCAAGATGTCATATGGCCCAGAATATCCCTGTGGTCAGTTGGGGTCACCGTCCTGGCTGTGTCTCCTCCAGCATCCTTGCTAGACTGGGAGCAGGAAAAGCAGAGGTGGCCCTGGTTCTGTGTAAGCCCTGCTCAGCAATAACAAAACCATCTCTAGATTACCAACCCTAGGTTCAGCACAAAACATAGCCCTGTCCTAGCCACTGAGAAGAAAATTACCCCAGCCAAAACCAGCACAGCATGGTTCTGTGGCATCAAGCTTTTGAGTACAATTCACCACCTTCTCAGACTATTTATCACAGGAAATATATGCTAACCATAGGATGTATGTTATGCATTTCCCTTACAGAGGTTGCTCTCCAAAAAGAGTCCAATTTCATCACAGTTCCAAATCAATACCGAGAGGAAACAATCCTTCAGGGGACATACAAAGTCTACTATTCTGTTATATACACAAGGCACCAGAGGTTTGGAAGAAGTGCTGAAAGGCCATTGCCAGGAAAAAAAAAAAATTAAATGTAGAAAACAATGCTACCCTTAATTTAAAATGTAGGACTAGGTCATTAATGTGTGCCCATATAGATAGAACAAGTAATATCTTAAAATAAATTAGGTTTATCTATTGTATTACAGCATATTTATTTCAGGAATCTATTGGAGGAATTCTTTAGGGTAACACATAGCTTGGATGTCAACTCATGAGGACTCCTTGAAATCACCCTAAATATCTTTTTGCTAACATTTTATTGCAAAACCTATAACTTGAGTTTGCTGGGGAGTAAAATTTTGTTTTCAGAGATCTACAAGAACACTTTAGCTTTCATTTAGTTTGATTTGAAAATAATTAGTTTTAGCTTTATGACTTTATGCTTGTAAAGAAAAGGTTGAAAATATCAAAGAATGCTCAAAGATATAGGTAAAGAGACAAAATATGTATTTTGTGACACTTGTTCAAGGAGGGTCTATGTAAATGACATTTCATTTAGAAAGAGAGTAATGGTTTAAATATTTCTGTAAATTACTTTAAAGGACATAATATTCAGTAAAAATGAAGGAGAACTTAAGAGACTCAGTAACAAAGAAAAAAACACCAACTAGTTCTCAAAGAGAAACAGTCAGATCATTCATAATGAATTAAAACACTTACTGGCAAAGGTAGATTTTCCCGAGGAACGAAAGCATTCCAAGAGTTCTGACACACAACCTTCAATTTTTCAATTTGTTTAAAGGTTGACAAGTTTTTTTATTGGACTTTCAGAAAGCACAGCCTGGTTGTTAACACTGTTCTGTCTTTAGTCTAGGATAAAGTATACATATTAATGCATTTATCCATCATCACAGCACATAAAATAGAAACAGGAATTGCTTCCTCCAATCACAAAGGAAGGCTGTGTTTTCTCCCAGAAGAAATCCTGCACTGCACTGTCTCCTGAGTCTCTTGCAACAGTCAGACCCATCTCTTCTGGGAGGAAGCACAGACTCCCAAAGAGGATCCTTGCACAAAACAGTGGAAAGAAAACTGGTTATTCACCAGAGAAATACAAAGCCTGAAAGGTTCTGAGTAATTTATTCAGTAATTGAGGTAGATTTTCATAAGTTAGGTAATAAAAAACACCTGCATATTTATTCTACATTTGCAAAAACATTCATTTGGCCTTGGACTGTAAAATGGATGCACCACTTCTATCATACAACCTGAGGAATTAAAATCCTCTGTGAAAAAGATGCCAGGTACTACCTACAGCCCACAAAATACTCAACACTCAATTTAGATCCTTTGGATTATATGACTGAACCAGATTTTTTTTTAATATTATAAATACCCTTTATCCCCACAGGGAAGTTTAAAAAAAAAAAAAAAAACCCTCTGTTTTACCTTATTTAGTTATTAAAGTTCAGGAAAGAACATTCTCAAAGCAGAAAGCATAAAAGTTCCTCATGATTTTCAATTGTCTTTTTATACTATCTAGGCATTTACTTCAAGATTGGCATTATGTGGTAAGTAGCAGAATATGCTCAAAACAGAAAACTTCTTCTTTCACCTGTTCTCCCTCAATATCTCCTTTAACAAGACAAACAATAGTAAGGTACATTTCCAGTATTTTTAGAACAATATTTTCTTCTTTAAAGATGACCAGAAGGAAGATGATTTGCTGACTGTTAAAGAATATTAGGTTCTACTATTCATTGCTTATTCTCTCTCTTCATCTAGTTTGGTGTTTGGGGCTTTTTTCCCCTTTTACCACAAATTTTACAATATAGAAATTGTTCTCTTGTTTAAAAAATTTATAGAGAATTTATCTACTCTCCCATTATTTTTCTCCATAATTATAAATCCTGAGAAGAATTTCAATAAGATATTCTAGAGACTGAGTTTTGGTTGTTGAAATGCATTGTAAATTCATTCTATTATTTATCATAGTATATATTATCTTTATTATATATATTATATATTATATTTATTATATTAAAATATATTTATTATTACTTCTAGAATCAACAGTAATAAAATTCACTGTTCCCTGTTGGCTAAAAAAATTGTTTCTAAGCACACAAACAAAATGCACACATGAATTTGAGACACGAAGTTTCCTTTTCAGGGAAAGGGATGATAATTGACACAACTTAACACCCAGTAGGCCTTCCTGTCCCAAGTAGAATACAGCACATGTAGCCTGACAGACACTCAATTCCTTAATTTTAAAGAAGGCTGTGGGACTGAGAGCAGGAAACATGAAAGAGAATTGTGAACTTGAAAACCTGTGGTGTTCTTGATACACAGTGGTTATTGCAGTCTGTTTGTTATTTCTGACATGAACAGCAAGAGGGACTTGCATCACTGCAAACAATACAAAATTTGACACCTACCTGCAAGTACAGAACAGCTTTAGAAGAGTTGTTCAAGGAAGATGTGGAACTTGCACCCTCTGAGGATTCCAAGAACAGAAACAATTACCATACTTCTGCAAAAACTTAAACATAACAGTAACTTTCACAGGTTGCTACTATCTTTGAAGTAAATGAGAATATTTGCATGTGAAAGTCGAAGCATTGTTAAGCCAATAGTCTCTATTTTCCCAAGCTGTGCCCAGAGCAGGCAAAATGAAAAATCAACAGTCCACATTATTTATTTAAACCATAGGAAAAAACCCCATACGTGTGTGTTGTAATTTATTTTAGGAAAAAAAGAGCTTCAAAATCAAAAACTTTATCACTAATTTAATATACTCCAATTATTTCACTTTATTTTTCAGAAGTCCTACTTTTAGAAAAATAGAACAAAAAAAAAAAAAAAAACACAGGAAACCCAGTAAACAATACTGAGGAAGTTGTTTCAGGAAAAGAATATTCTCTTACAAGAAAATTACAAAGCTTTCCATGCTGAAAGATATCAGTCAAGCTCTTACTTGCAGAGCCTAAGCTGACACGAATAAGCAATTTATCAAACATCTCCCAAATGACAAAAGCAAAATGCTTCTCTACAACCAGCACAAGAACTCTAGAAAAGTCAGTTTGGGTCCTAATAAAGTTAAAAATGCCCTCAAAATCTTTTTATATAGGTGAGCTAGAAGAAGAGAAAAAACAAATCCCCAGTTATATATCCACAGATAGATCTAACCAAAATTGTGTCATAAAAAAAGAAACTATAGAAATCCTATCAGAAAAGAGAGAGAGTCAGAAGAAAGCAGTCAACATCCAGAATATGGAAAAACTTCATATCAGAAGGTGCAGTGGCAGCAGCTCCATAGCCTCAAAGTTTATGTATTTGCCTTTTTTCTCCTCACAGTCCTGTAATTGTAAAGACTCCTCCAAGAAGAAACCAAGAATAAATGCTTCTAGAAAAAGTAAATGGATCGTTTTACCCCCACTCTTTATCTATTCATCCTATTATCCTTTGCACCCAGACTACAATGTTCTGGAGCATCCTCTCATGATCCTTCAAAGAATACCAAGTGAACACTTTGAAAGGTAACTTTTGTTGACTTCCACTGCTCAACTGGAAAATGACCAGGAATGCATTGCATTCCCTAAAACTTCCAAGAACCCATTAACCCTATAATTAAAAGTGAAAAAAATACTGCTCCTAACTTCTTACTCTATGCACCGTGTTGCACCGTGCAATGTCTGGAAAGTTTGATAAGGGCAGTATATAAAACTACCAGCTCATAGATTGCTTCTTGGCTCCATGATATGGAATTATCCTGCTGATTTAACACTACATACTGTCCCATTAAGCCTCTATTTATTATGTAACCACAAGTGCTTCAGCACAGAGTATTAATTACGTTTTGCGTTAATGAATCTGGAGACACTTTTCCAAACAGTATTTCCTACAATTGCTTTTCACAAGTCTTTCCCCCCACACACTCCTTGTGTGAATGCCACTTTGCCTAACCTAATTCCAAGCTCTTCTTGTTGCCAGCAACAGCTGCACTCACAGCACCCTCCTCTAAGTGAAAACAGTTTTACAAATGCCACAATTCTGCTTTCTCCTTGCTGTCTGTGGTGAAATAGTTACAGCAGACTGTGGATGAAGCTCCACTTCTGCAGAAATAAGAGCTCTAAATCCACAACAGTGTTTAGCATGACATTTTCTGATGTTACCCTTCTGAAAACCTGCACCTTCCCCGCTGCAGTATGCTGTGCTACCAACTGAACCTCAGACAAGGTTTCTGGGGCCAAACTTTGGCTTAGCTATCAGGTGATGTTAGATAATGTCCAAGACCTAATAATACATCCACCTTAAGGGGAAGAATGGACTCTGTTAAGCAGTTGGGTCAGCAGAGATACAAGCTCAAAACCAGGGAAATTCAGAGGAGTCCCCGGGGGAATAGATAGAGGAATATGGACCCTGTCTTAACTTAATGAGTGCAGTCAATACCCTGAGCAATTTGGTGGATGGTATCAGCACATCAGGAAGTTGATCTTCATAGCTTCTGTGTGATCTCTTGCTCACCACCAGCATGGATTATCTGAGCAGTCAGAGTAAGAACCTTGATCTGCCCTCTCCTTCAGAGTACAGTCATTTTCTTGCAGGCAGGCAGGATTATGTAGCTATTATGTGCGGCAAGATGATTGAAAGCCTAGGAGACCTACTTTTAGCAGGTCAGCCCCAGTGTTGCCAGAGGTGTCCATAGGGATTGACATGCAAATAGCCTTAGAAATGACTAATGGGGATGAAGTAGGGAAGAGAGGAATTGCTGTTGACATGGCAAGGTCCCACATATCCATGAGAATAAAGACAGCATAAGAATTGTACACATTTAGACCTTAGCATTATTCATACCCATCACCTCTCACTATTGTAGGCAAACCACAGTCAGTGATTCAGCAACACAGGCCCTCCGTGCACAGCACTCCTGCTGAATGCAAATGCAACAAACAATGACTAATTTCAGTTCAGCTTTGTGCTCATTCTCCTTGGGAGAGAAACTGGCTGTTCCACTCACACAGCATAAGTGAAATATTTTCTTCTGTTCAACACTTAGGAGTACAACCAAAACTTAAATTGTTCTGCTCTTGCTACAGCCACTGCTCACAGCTACAGGGACACGAGGATAAACAAGCAAGGGATCCTGTTTTGAAGAGAGAGATACTTACAAGAACATTATTTCAGTCAATTTTCTTCCCTTACGACAGACATACCTCGCAATGTCTTGAGGTCTATAATTTACAACTGTTAAGCCTTTATTATAAACCTTGACCACAGATATGGTGGGGGATTTCCTAGCTTTTTGGCTGATTTAGTAAATACCTGTGGTGGAAAAAGCAAATGTTTGCTGCCAAATGCTAATAAGGAGCACAGGACATTGAACTGAAAGAGAGTGCAAAAGTAGGTGAACAAAGGCAGGGACTGATGGGGAATCCCAAACTAGAAATAACATTTAAACTGTTTTTCCACAGTCATATTTAATCAAGAAATCTACATGGGTAATATGATATCATCAATAACTTGAAGCCTTTAGAAAGAGACATCTGGCATTACGTTATATACTCCTGCCCTATCTCAGCTGTGAGAACCAAGATGCCTGTAGGAAATGCAGGGTGAAATTGTAAAGATGATCATAATGGTCTGACTGGTGTTCACACCTCTGAGCCCTTCCTGAATCCACAGGAAAGTCTGGTGTACTTTTTTTGTTTGTGCTTATGCAGGAGTCAAGAGCCTGCTAAGGAATTTAGTTTCCCTTTACCATTTAGCAAGCTCTGCCTTCTTGATTGAGCAGCCGTTCATGTTAAATCGGAGGAACACTTCAGTAAAATTCACCCTTGGGAGGGGTATAGGAAAACCAAGTGAGAGGATGCAAGAGAGATCTGGAAAGGACAGACTGAAATGAAATAGCATTTGGATATCTAGAAAGGAAATCCAAAAATGGAAGCTGTAAGTATACTTGAGTAACTACAAGGGTATATCTTCAGTTTACAGCTCCAATAAAACCTCAGCAAAGTTGAGCTGGTCTGGAAGATCCCATTTCTTCTGCAACAAAACTTCATACAGAAAATTCTGAGGCAAACAAAAGCAGTAAAAACCACCATAAAAAAAAAAAAAAAACACCATAAAAACCTGCCATATTGGATTTGGAAAAAAAAAATTACGCTGGAGGCAGATAAAATATCAGTTTCCAAATAAAATAAGACAGAAAGCAATTATTTTTCATAACCATTAGGAACAGGAAAACAAGAATGTTAGCTTAATTTCCAATAAAATTAAATACTAGAGTGAATTCTGAAGGCACTGAGAAAGGGTTGAAACACAAAGTTACGACTAGCTAGGGAGACTGGAACATCATTCCTGAAGGTTTTCAAGACCAGACACTAGCAGAACATGTTTTAAGGAGGGCTGAGTACACTTGACCTCACACTAGCACAGGCACAGATTAATTGATCCCTGGCATTCCCCCCAGCACACAGCTCCAGTCTTTGTTGAAAAGACAGAATAGGAACTGTCTTATCTGAAGAACAAAGCAAGTTTCTGTTCTTCCTTTTTCTTCAAAGAACACAATATGCCTACCTCTGCTATCAGGTTATCTTTTAAAGCAGTCAGCAAACTATGGCTACTTCCAACGTTGTTGCTGAAGAAGGGAACAGAAATTTCTGCTGTGATTTGAAGTAATTTTCTACCACACGCTCCTCCTCATTAATCAACAAAGAGCTTCAGTGCACACTCGTGCTATAAATTTCAACTCCTTTTTGCAAACTTTGTGGAGAAACCTTTTGAAACCCTCAAGTAGTTTGTCTTAAATAAGGCGTGTCTCTTTAGCAAATTCAGCAAAAGAAATAATGAAAAAAGAATCAGTAAATTTCAGTTTTGCTCCACTGTACACCAGCATTGGCCCAACAGAAACTGCAGCTGGCCCAGAGTCTGAAGCAGCTTCTCTGACACAGATATGAAAACTTAGCGGAGGAAGGACCATGCACACAAAAAATTAAGTAGTTTTAGCTTTCTTTCATGAAGCTAATCACAAACATACAGTTTATTAAAAAACAACAACAATAATACTGTTTGTCCTGCAAGCAGCAATGAAGGAGCAACAGAAATAGTTTATATTATCTTGACTAACTGTATTTGGGAGGGAAGTGTTCAGGCCCACAGTGAAGATAAACAGCTCTATTCTAAGCTCATTATTTGTAAGCATAAAAAGGAACCTAAGTCATTCCTCTTCTGTCTCTTTTATACACTTTGAAGTTACACACACCCTTTGGCCTGTGTAGAACAGTATCCTGCAGACCTCTTTGTATGTGCATAGCATTCCAAATCACTTCTTCATTTTCAAAATTCATTTTCTGTCTCATCCCAACCAGACCTTTCAAGTCATTTTTCCAACAGGACTTAAGATATAACATGCCCGAAGTTATTCAGCAACACTTGCACATTCCTTGCTGCATAAATCAGGGTCACCAAGCACATTTGCTTTCCCTTTTTGCATGGTTGCTGCAAGCAGACTTCCCAGAACTTTCCTGAATAACAAGTGTTACCTGTTGATTTCATGCCTTTTCCTGCTGTTTTCCCTTTGCACTGATCTCCTGCCCTGTCACTCACAGCTGTGTGCATTTCTTTTGGAGTTTCAGCTCTGTGCCAGCTCCTTACTCTATGTTAGGAGTCAGCCTTCCAAAAAGTCCTTCATTCTCCTGCCTTCCATGTCCTCCTACATCTTCATTTCAATCCCACATCTTTCCCACCACTGGCACAAAGCATACCAAACATGTTCAATACCAAACACGTTCAATACAAAAATCACAGCAACCCACTTGCGCCTACGTCTCTATATTAAATATGAGCTTTAAATTTATTATAGAGGCAAACTTTTATGATTTAACTAGTTTTTCTTGGTTTCTAGTAATTTATGAAGTTCTAGAGTAATTAATATTTTTTACAATCTTCTCTGCAATGAGAAAGAAAACCACACATATGAAAAAATCCGCCTACTTCCAAAGATTCCTAACTTCCAGTCTTTGTGGTTTCAGAAATTTATTAACATTGGAGATTTTTCATATTTGAGTCAAATCACCTAAACTCACCATAATACTAAAAGATCTGTTTTATAGGTTTATGTGGCAGAACATCTTCTGTGCCAAACTAGGCTTTTACCCTGCTGTAAACATGGCCCTGCTAGGCAGAAGATCCATTCTGTGGTTTGTTTTCAGTTCAGTAAGCATCAGGGAAGTCATTACTCTGACAGGAACAACCCTACTCTGATCCAAATGGCATCAATCTGTCCTGGCCTTAAAAAGTGGAGAGGTCAGTGACCTGGTAGAAAGAACGCTAAAACAAATGTCATGAATAATTAATTGATCAAGAAATTTATAGCAGGGGAGTGAAGGATGTCAAGTCCACACTCAAATCATCCAGTTCCCATGTGAAGGGGGACACGCAACACCTTAACTGCAAGTCCCCTTCAATATAGGCAAGTTTTAGCATTAGTTTCTCATGAGTATCCTCAAAAATTTTGCAGGTCAATGAAATACAGAGGGAGAGGTATTAACACTTATCCCTTGGAAATAGGAAAGAACTGCTTTGTTTCTGCACACCTGTCTCTAGCATATATCTGTTGTCAACACACCGGATGTGTAAGGTTTTTATTTTTAACCATAAGCCTAAGGTGGCAATGGATGCTTTCAGAATGATGGGCAAACAGCATTCCATTCATAGGGGAGCGGCTACCTCTCCTAAGAGGGCTCTGGATAATTCAATACCTGGCCCTGTAATTAATAGGGAAAAGAGGTGAAAGACTACCCTTTCCATCTGAGCAAGTCTAGGAACTGGTAACTCATGATGCCTGCATGGAGTGAGGGTTTCTGTTGACAGGTATTAGCCAAGAACTCTTTGGCATGCAGGTATGAGTGCCAGGAGCATGCCTGAACTTGACGAGAGGGTTGCCAACAGGAATTCAGGACTAATTTATTTACATCTACACCTCTCTGGAAGAAAATAACTTAAATGATGCTGCTTCACTTGAAATCAGCAAACGCGCTTTGGGCAAAGAGGCTTGCAAGGCTTCATAGCAAAAACAAAAGAAAGCATTCACGTTCCTTTACTGTGCCAGCAATGAATACAAATAAAGGCAAAAAAACAAACAAGCATTAAAAACACCCCAAAACAGAAAACAGAGTAACAGCTGGATGAACTGCTAAGTCTGAACTGCTGCCAGATACTACATTTTGAATTAATCATCAGTTTCACCCAGGATGAGTTTAAGAGTTTTGCTATGCACACTAAACTCAATTTCACATGTAGGTCTTATTGGAGACTTAAGCTTCATGTTCCCTCATGCTTGACACTCCTAGCAGTGACCCCGATGCCTGAACAAGCTCATATGGCCACTCCTGCTCATTTAAAAGAAAATGCTTTAACAGAGCTGCCACCAAGAACAAGACTTAAACCCCATTTCAGAAATGAAGCTCTGTTGCATTTCCAGCATGGAGTACAAGCTGTGGGCTTCTGCATCAGTTGCAGCAGGGTGCTGCCATGAGGCTGAGCAGGAGGCCATCCTGCACACCCTGCTGCACTTTGTGCAGGGCTGTTTACACCCAGCATGCCACCTCTGATAATTCTGCAGCAAGTTCAGGAGCACACTATACTTTCCTTTAAGCCCCGGCTGCTATATGTGGTGAGGGGAAAAAAAAAAACCCACCAACCCTGTGACAGTGTATTTCAGTTTTACTGCATCATTCAGGTTAGGGAGGTGCACTGAAACGGTGCAAACCTCTTGGGTTTCCAACAGTACAATTACAAGACAAAAGACAAATGTTGTGCTAATTACATGTTCCCTGACTCGGGAAATTGAAGCTTTAAGGACAAAACCCAAACAGCCAATGACTCAGCAGGACCAGCATCTGCTTCCTGCCCAGCACACAAGAGCTGGTTTTCCTTAGGACCCTGTGCTTCAAATGGTCCTGTCCCTTCACCTTCAATGCTGAAATGTTCTGCTTATGAACCACCAGGGAAAAGTTTAACCTAAGCCAATCACACACAATTGAAAAGGCACATTTGTTTGCTAGGTAGATGGTATTTGCCTTGTGCTAGGCTGTTCATTCACTGGCTTTACAGGATCTTACTCTTTGACTTAGGAAAAATGATTCCTGTTAGCAGAGAACAGAATCTAGCAAGAATGACAATGCTTCATACAGGAGATAAGGAGATCTTCTGACAGGCCAACTGACATGAAACCAAGTAATAAATTAGCTGCAAAATTAAGTCCCTCCAGATGCAGTGCCTGAGCACATTTGCTTTGTAATTTATTTTGCTAATGCATACAGAAATATTCAAGCTTCAAGACTAAGAAGTGAGGTTATTTGTTTGCAACTGCCTTCTCATTACACCTGTCTTGATATTCTTTTCATGAAACAAAGTGCCTGAGGTGTTGATTCATTAATTCTTATTCAAGTATCTCCCGGTAGCACTCTGGAGAGTCCGGCCCGGTACAGAGTCCATGGATCCCATATGAATGTTTGGAATGGGGGAAAGCACAGTGCAGCTCAGACTACACACTTCCATGAAATTCAGAACTCAGTTTTTCTGGTCACAAAGCAAAGAAAAATTATGTCTTCTGCCACCGTTCCTATATATTCTTCCCTGTGTTTCTGAGATGCAGAGCAGAAAACAGGGGGAAAAATAAAATAAAATGCTCCAAGCTACTGCCTCAGCACCTTAATAAAAGGGAATAAGCCAATAAAAGGCAAATAAAAAGTAAACACACTTCAATGATGTCTGCAAAAATTTAAGCCTCAGGGGTTTGTTTATTTGCATGTATATTTTATAAATAGTTGGCAGAATAAGTTTGCCAACGTGGATGTTGAGTAAATTAAAAGTAAACACTGAAGATCATTTAGAAAAAGCAAATTTTGATGCAGCAATCCCAATATGTATAGGACTTCCCATAGTTACCTTATACAAAAGTGAAGTCTCAAACTACATGAACAGCCCAGCTGAAAGGGACAGTGAAAGGAAGTGAAGTGTTTTTCTGGAGTATTATCTAACACTGAACACTCCTGCCCAGCTACCCATGTGATTTATCTGTCTGATCATAACAGCTCAGCTTTCAAATATCAAAGGTTTTCAAATCATTCTTAGGAAAGCAGCAGCAGCAGACCAAGGCCTTTTCTATAAAGTCAGAGAAAATACCTTTGGGAATAAATGATCTTTCCCTGGAAAGTTGCTCAGAAACTATCCCAAAGAAGGAGCCCCATACTTTGAAGCTTGCAGCCTGGCTCTGTGCAGCCAGAAGCAGATCAAAACCAGTGACACCAAAAGGACTCTCATGGCAATGATTACTGTTGTGTGGGGCCAGACCACCAACTGGAGCAGTTTTAAGGGCATGGGGAGAAAGATGAGACACAGAAGTTGAATCCCAGTTCTGCAACACAGCCCTGCTCAGGTTCTCCTGCCAGGATTTTCATCTTCGTATTCCTTCCCTCTTCTGTTTCCTGTGTAAGAAAGGGACAGGAGGATTATGCAAGTGAGCTCTCTCCTGCCTGCAGAGATGTCTAGAAGGGGTAGGGTGCCATCAGGCAGCTCCAGCACAGGGCAGGAAGGGCACGAGCTCCTGGGGCTCCATCAGCAAGTTCACACAACTGCACTGTCCAAAAGTGCCGCACACAGAGCTCTTCAGTCACACCAGCACTTCTGACAACCACGATTCCACCAGCACCATGTTTGGCTGGAACACAGGGAAAGGCTTTCAGCAAAACCCTGCTGGACTGGCACTGTATCAGCAATGGCCTCTCAAAGGGAGCACACTGACCTCCAAACTTGCAGTACTGTCATCCTGACCTTATGGTCCTACTCAGGTGAATTAGCAAATCGCCATCTTCAGGTGACTACGAAAGAAAAAAGGGGGTTTTTGGGTAACTTTTTTAAAAATAAACAGCTTCCTACCAGTATTAAACTGAAAACATGTTTCTATGGCTCTGAAAAAAAAAAACCAACATGAATTCTTTATCAAAAGAAAACATTTTTCAGGCACGCCCGAAGATATTGCAGAAAAAAAACCCCTTACTTATCTACACAAATATAGCAGGAGGCCAGACTCAGGAACAGAAAACATAGTTCTATGAAGAGAAAACTGTGGATTAGAGATACCTATAGCCCTTATAAATTGTAAGTATGTACAAATATATTCAGCCTCCTGAGGTTTCCAGGTAGCAGAAAACAGCTGAAGCTATGCAAATCATTTTGGAGCTGCCCTTGGTATAAATTTGTCCTCAATGTAGCACTGCTATGTCTCAGTTTCTAATTCATTCTGCTCTAATAATAAATTCTCTTTAGAGACCTTGACTTTCCATAGAAAATTAACCAAAATGTAATATATATTCAGACACCTGGTAGCATATTTGCATATGTGAGATAATGCATGCCAAGATCCTACAAAATAAAAAAACCCAGAGTTTGGAAATGGACATGTTTCTGCATTACAATCCATTTGAGACAGACTTAGAATGAAGGCTAAAAAATTTGCTACAATTTTATATACCCATTGAATTGGTGTGTTTGTTCATTTTGCTCATCAAAATATCCCCTCAATTTGATCTTTCAGAGTGTGCAAGCACTGTCATTTACACCCATAGGAAGAAAAAAAAAGGAAACAGTCTCCACGCCACAAAAAAAAACCTAGAAAGGGAAGAAATAAAAAATTAAAAAAAAAAAAAAAAAAAAAAAGGAAAGAAAGGCCAAACTCTAGGAAAATCTAGAACAGTTAAATAAAAGGTTTCCAGTATAAGAGAAAGTTAAAGATATCGGGGTATAGCTATGCCATAGTTTAACCACAGCTGGCAACTAAGCACCCCACAGCTGGTCACTCAATACCATCAGTGGGATGGAGGAAAGAGAACTAGAAGGATAAAAGTGGAAAACTCATGGGTTTGCATAAGAACAGATTAATAACTGAAATAAAATAAAAACAACTAATTATAATAAAATGAAAAAAAAAAAAAACAAAGACAAATAAAGCCCAAGAAATAAAGGAGATGCAAATTAAAACAATCACTCAGTACCAACACACCAATACCTAGCCAGTCCCTCAACAGTAGCTCCCCAATCCACCTTCCCCCCAGTTTTATTGCCAAGCATGATGCCATACAGTACAGGATACTCCTGTGGTCATTTGGGGTCAGCTGTCCTGGCCATGCCCCCTCCCAAATCCTTGTGCACTCCCAGCTGCTCAGTGTTGGGATGAGAAGCAGAAGCAACCTTGGCTCCGTGTAGGCACTGCCCAACAGGAACGAAAAGCTCCCTGAATGATCACTCCATACTGACCTACGACATACAAATAGCTCCTTACTAACTACTGCAGGATAACTGACCCCAGCCAGAACCAGCACCAGCTATCCAATATTAACAACTAAGTCTGTCTTGCCTCATAGACTCATTTTTGCACTCTTCATGAAACTGCCTCCCTCTACACATATATAAACACATTCAAACTATATCATCCGTCAAGAATTCAGCTATCTGTACTTCCCTCAATTTGACTTTTCTGGTAACAATAACAAGGATGCTGACATGTAACCAAAACCAAACAGACACAAAATCCCCTCTGACCTTCAAGCCATCCTTTGAATTTGACACTGAAGAACACACTCTGAAAGCAGGTGGGGACTTTGGCTGACATATGCTTGCCCCAAATAGAGCATTTTCAGTCATAAGGAACATCTGCCTCACACCTGCATTAGGTGGGAGGCAGTGCCCTTAGGAAAGCAAATAGGGCAACAGGGGAAAGTGAAAAATGAACTCATGAGCAGAAGTTTACATTAAAGCATTTTTTTTTTCTTCCAGACACACAAGAAGTATTAGAAGAGTCTTTATATTTTCCCAGTGGTATCTGACATTGGCTACTGTCCATCTCAAAAATACGTAGGAGAGAAGCAAAAAGATATATCCTAGTAAGTCCTCACCAAAACCAGAAAGAGACCTTGGGAAAAAGTTACAAACGCAGAGAACAACAGATTGTGTGTGGGGTGGAAAGGCTGAAGGCCACAGAGGAGGTCATTTCAGAAGAAAAAAAAGAAAACAGGAAGAAAGAAGAAAATACCTGATCGTTATTCAGCAGCACTGAACAGCTTCTGAAGGTACCTCTCCCAGAGAGAGAAGTGCTGCCCCAGGGCAATAGACATGAGAGCGGATGGGGTACTTATGTACTGATGTAGAAGCCTGGAGCCCCCTCCCTGCCTGCAAGCAATTGACAAAACAAAAAGGCTTTCTGGCAAGAGCCTGCATCTGGAATGCTCTGCCTCACTGCCACCCCCAGCCTGTGGCATGGGGCCGTACAGCGCAGTCTTTGGGAGGGAAGCACGGATCCCTTCCCTTATAAACACCCACTGCCCGCTTCGTGGGGATAGAGCCACCAATTTCTTGGCTTCTATCCTTACTTCTACTCTTCACTCCGACAGAACTGAGGTCACTTTTATGTTTTCCACATCTCTATAGAAAACTTATTTTGCAATACTCTAACCTCTTATTTAGCCAGAACACCACTGAACACCTACAACCCAGCGCTATTGAAGAGTACACTATCACAAGAGCCAAATACCAAGTTTGACCTATCCTTCTTATCCACTTACTGGAATGATTAAAAAAACAAAGGTGGATAGCACACCGCTGTTGTTGCTTGGCTCACTCAAAGAATAGAATAGTATGATAAGGATTAGTACAGTGTACAAGAAGCTAATGTTGATTTTGTTACAGCATAATTAGCTGCAGCTTCAACTTTGTGAGGATAAGTAACCTAGTAAACATTATACCAGCTGCAGAACAGCAGAGCTACACTGACTAGGAACCATCCTGCTCAAACGAAATCCTGCTCATAGAAAATTGAGTGTTGCATTGAATGCAATTAGCTGTCTCTTGATACCGGTTTTAATGAAAAAATGACAGCTGCTAATCCACAGAGTAAATCTTCACATTTTCAGCTTTCAAAGACACAAGACTTTGTCAAGCTTGAACTCACAGTCTTTCCTCCCCACCTTCACCCTCCACATCTCCCCCCAGGTTTGAGGTTTGAGAATCTGTCTTTATAACTTCCCTGAATAATAGCTAGCAGGGCTGGATTCAAGAGCTGGGTATATTTTTGACCAAAGACCCAAAACAGAGAGAAATACACAATTTTCTGTGCCTACACCTTCCACGGACACATCTTGGTATCATTTCAAGTTGTGTGTGTTCTTATTTTATTCAACATTAAGAGATAACAGTAAGATCCTTTATCACTTGTAATTGATGTAGTTCTGAAGATACTGCACAAACTCTGTCAGGCTGAAATTGTTTGAAAAATCCCAACATAAAATAAGAGTAGATAACCAGTCCAACCTCTGTTAAAGTCAGGGAAAGTCCCCTGCTCACATCAATAATTTTAGAAATAGTTCCTACTGTGAAGACAGTAAGGAGACTAAGCAGAGTACAGTGAGGGAGTGTTCAATTGTAGGACCTAAGTTCAACTGATTTTGAACACAAGTTTAAACGAGTTTACTTGTCATAAACAGCACACATCAAACCCGTTGCTAAAGAACATCTGCCTAGATTTGCTGTGATGCTGGAGCCCTGCTATGGTCTGTGCAGCCCCGTGGTCTGTGGCCCTGTGCTTCCAGCTACGTGCTCTCAGACAGGCTTTCCTGAGCACAGCTTACTGCTGCAGTCTTGCATAATACACTTCTGGAAGGGAATACGTGCTGCAGCTTGATGTTGATTTTTATTAACACACAGATCTCAACTGAGAATTGAGTGACACAGGACTAACTCGTTACTGATTAAAAGTTAGGAAACAAATTATGAGATCAAAGTAAATTACTAAAAAATAAAGCCCCACAAAGCCTAATATCACATTCTAGACAGTTAGAAACTCTTAGTTGGAGATGCTGAAAAGTATCCAGCATTGAGGAAACAAACAAAGCATTTTCCACCTTCACAGCCCTTGTACCATTTGTGAAGAGACTTTTCAGCTGCTCAAGCAGATAAGATGCTAGATAAACTTGTATTTTAGGAAATTGAAAAATTTTTATTCCACAGTTTTTCACAGTACTGGACTAAAAGAGGAAATTAGTTCCCTTATGCTTTATATTTTTGTTGGCATATCCAAGGCCTAAGGTTGTGTATTTAAACACAATATGAGACCTGCA